TTTTCTACAATTAAAATGAACTGATTTAATATATTTTTATTACAAATACGTTTATCAAATAAATTGATTTTTGATAATTTAAACTTATAAAAGAAAATAAAATTGATAGTATATTAATTCATTTTTTAATAATATTTATTAAATATATTTAATATGTTATACATATTTTTATTATGAATATATTTTATCGAGTAAATTAATTTTTCGTAATTTAAACTTATAAAAAATGAAATTGTTAGTAATATTAACAGTGTGTTAATTTATTTTTTAATAATATTTTTTAAATAAATTGAATACATTTATTATAGGAATTTTAAAATTATTCATATAAAATTAAATAAATTAGATATGTTATAGAAACGTACCTAAATTTATAACGAAATAAATTTTTACGTGTTACAATATATCTTTTAAAATAATATATAATATTTTGAATTCTCTCATTATTTATATTTCTAATAATGTAATATCATAATAGAAAAATTATAATATAATTTAAGAACTATAATTACATATAGGCAAAATTATCTGTTAATTTTTTACATTACTAATTTTGATAAATAATAAAATTAAAAATTATAAATTTGGTCTCAACATATAAAAATAAATTTTACATTTTAATTTAATGCATTAAATTATAATATATTCTTAATTATATTATATTACTTTTTGTAGCGCCCGGACCGAGGAAAAAAAAACACGTCAGCAGGCCCGGTCAGCAGTCCCGGCCAACCGGGACCTGCCACATGGCAAAACCACGTCGTTCTAAAAAGGGCCACGTTGGCGATCCGCGTGGGCGCGATCGAACGGCCCAAATCAAACGTGCGATCGGACGGCCCAGATTAAACGCACGGACGGCCCAGATTTAATCAAAAACGGACGGCCCAGATTAAAACAAAATGGACGGCTGAGATCAAAAGGCAAGGGGTTATAAATAGAACCCCCACACCAGACCACAAACCCTAGCCGCCTGCCACTCGTCGGAGAAGACGAACCAGAAGCCGGCCGCCGCCACCCGCCGCCGCACCGGAGGAACTTTCGACCGCCGATCGAGGTAAATTTCGTACCCCCCACTCGTTTTTCCACGCTGATTCCTCCTGTGGCCAAATCGGAGCCAAAATCCCGGCCAAACGGCCGGAATGCACGGCCGAAGCCCAGCGGCGCCGCCGCGCCCTTCTCGGTTTTTGCCTCCGATGAGGCCCTTCCCGGCCTCCGTTTGATGCAATTTTTATATCACCGTGATCACCACTCTTTTCTCTACAGGTTGACCGGAGCCGAATCACCAAAACACGAACTTCGCCAGAGAGCCGCCGCACCCGAGAGCGCCGCCGCCGGTAAGCTCCATTTTCTCGTGATTTTTTGGCCCCCCGAGGGCCCTAGGGTTGTTTTCTCGCAGGGACCGATGCGAGTGTGGCCGAATTCGGCCGAAAACGGCCGAAAATAGCCAACCCGAGGCGAATCGCCGCCGCCAGCGGCGGCATCGACGCCGGAGCACGGCGGAGCCGCCGTGCCGGAGTTGCGATTTGGGCCGAAAGGGGCCCTGGGCCTAATTTGGGATTTTTTTGGAACACGTGCAGGTACCAGTAGTGCGTTTCAGTTCCCCGAGGAAAATTCAGGGAAAATTAGGGACAGCCTGCAAGCGCACTGTGAAGCCGTGTTCGGACCCCAAAACGAGTAAAGACCCCTCACCTTATTTCCTATCACGGTTTTAAAGTTCAATAAATGATAAAACGATATTTCATGAATCAACGAATGTGTGAAATTGCTTAGGGTCGCTAATGGAGCCCGAGTCTAGTGTGTTTGTCGGTTAATTGTTATTTGGCCTGTTTTACAGTT